GTTGATAGATACCAACAAATTATAAGAAACAGATACAAGAATTATTCAATTCACAGTCTTAAACTATCAAGGATTTTTTATTGAGACAGTGGTTCGACCGATGTCAGACCACCATTTAAAATCTGGAAGTACTGGTTGACCGTTTCGTCCCAGTGTGAGACTCCTCGGTAGTGCCCATCCACCATCCCACGATCTCATACTACGACGAAACGACCGTCCAGTACTTCTACGTTTTTAATGGTTGTCTAACATTGGTCGGTTCATGGTCTCAATAAAAGTCCAACAATTCCCAAAACCCTATACTGATAAATATTAAGAATACTTTGATCAAAAAGCCCCAATGAAAGATTGACTAGCTACTGAGATAATATTTAAGAAACATAAAAAACAAGAGGTCACGGCGGTATAAATAACAATAATTTGAAAGACATGTTTAAATTTACAAATCAGGTGAACATGCTAAACATCGGTCAGTAAAATATAGAGTTATTAGACCACGACATGGAATATAGTAAGGTGAAGTTGTTAGACAATAAATTTAACTGTGGAGCATGACACTCAAACAAGGACTTCCATACAATTATGGATAAAACACTCGAGTAATCTTGTTTCTTAAAGCAAATAGTTTTCTGTTACTCATCATACTTTATGTCACGTAAAGCAAGACATTTGACATTAGTGAAAGATTTTCATTTCTTAAGTTACGTTCAACAAAATCATCAGTTCAATCTAGCAGAATGAAACAGAACAACGCAAGGTCTCTCTAAATTAACTAGTAACATGAATTAACTTTATGACATGTCGAATCAGTGCACATTCAGATTAGGATAATTAACACGACTATATAATAAGATAATCATTTAGCATATCATTATAATCTGTCTTTCAAGCCTTAAAATTTATTTTACCGTATTTCACTGTGCAAAAGTTACTTAGTCTTATTTTAAGGATTATTTACATCATGGAAGACGATTCACTGAACAATCATTCAAAAGTGGGAAACACGACAAGGTTGTCTCATTGCACTTAAGGTGTACTTTAAATAGTGAATATTATCAACCTTATAAATTTTTAACTTATTAGTGGTTATAATATCATTCAGCTAGCAATTAAAGCAAGTCAATTATATATATATATATATATATATATATATATATATATATATATATATATATATATATATATATATGATGGATGATAAAAAAAGTTCCAAGAAGTGAACATTCCTATGATATCAATTATTTATTGAATTATAAACAATGTGTCTTGCAGAATCCTTAGTATTAGCCGAACTCTATAGATCAGATGCCCAGTTATTCACACTTTTAAGTCGAAAATACTGTAAATTACGACCAATGTTAGGTAGTTGAATGTTATTATTGGGAAGATTTAAGTCTATTTTATATGCTAATCAGTACTCCTTAGTAAATCCAATGTGCGATCATTGAGAAACTGATGTTCACCCCCAAAGATTTTAATTTTTAACCCCAATTATCTTATACTAAATTATTCGGTTACTAAACTACGTAATAGGCATTAGCCATATGAGGAAGAGCAAAAATGTCTTCGAGGGGATGATTACCACTAACTTATTGTATATTTTAGTATTCATCATTGTGCAAGAAATAAATATTTGTAAACAATTTTCGGGGCATGCTTTTATGATACGTAGTCATTAAATATGCGTTTAAAAGAATAAAATGGAGGATCATTTTCACACGGATGAATACAAAATTAGGTGGAATTATTGTTAATGTGTAGATTTTAAAAAAGAATCTAAAACGATATACTGATCGATTTCGTGCGTAAATCCATAAATGATACGAAACTGATGCTCAACTTCAGTAAATAAAATCTTATTGTGAGACATAAACGTTTCAGATTTCTTAGTGTATGAACAGAAGGTTAGCTTCACGATAGATTCATAAATTCCTTCTGAAAAACAATGGCAGATGGATTTCAATTGTGTTGGAACAGTGGTGCAGTTAAGATAATTGTAGGACTATGTGGAGAACTAACTGAACCTAATAATGTAGACCACCGGATATTAACAAAATTGTTCAAAAATATCATACCCTTCATGATACTTAGATGTCTTGAATTCGACCGCTTGTGGCTTTATGGTCATATAATTCTGAGATGATTTAAATTAGAATGAAAACAGCCGTCCAATACTCACAGGTTTTTATTGACGTCAGACAGTAATGAAAACATTATCTTTAATAAAACCATAACTATTTGATTCCTTAATGATACTATGCTGATTATAATGAAGAATTTGACGACTGAACATTTTTTCAGACAAAAGTACAGAAGAGATATATACACTTCTCGTCTATCAATTAGTACGTCTAACTAGTTTGTTTAGACATAATAATGATAATAATAAACATCGAAGTTCAATAACATAAAACATCAATCAAAATAAAATCAGCGTTGATTTTCATCTTAAAAATTATTGTGGATAATACTTTGTTGATGTTTTTCTAAAAAAAATCAATCTACTTTCTGCCTAAATGTAAAAAAAAGATTAAAAAAATACTCCAGGTATTTCCTGGAGTTCTAGTGAGAAGCAGCGACCAGTGGAGTTCAACCGGGTCTGTTGTGAGATAATAACTCACTAAAGATAATGGTGAATGTGTCGCTCAACTTCGTGGATTAGTTGAAGTTAGACATTAACACTGTCGGATGCCGGCTCAGTTGTCTAGAGGTTAAGCGTTAGCGCGAGAGACCGACAGGCCTTGGGTTCAAATCTCGTGAGGCATGATCGTGGATGTGCACTGTTGAGGAGCCCCATAATAAGACAAAACGGTCTACCAGTGCTTCCAGGTTTCCCATGGTGACCCAGCTTCAATTGACTCATAGTCTCAACTATTAAATGAATGTTTGTTAAAAAATCAAACATTTTATTCTACATCCGTTTATTAAATGGATCTGTACTTTTGAATGTGAAGTGCATTCTAGATAAAAAAGAATTTATGTAAGTTTATTATTGGTTTCGAGCATCATAAGTCTAAATAATTTATTTCGAAATGGAACCATAAACGGGATTGTTTACTGAATCTATTTAAAGTAGCTTGGGCTTTCGCATTATTATCGAAGTACAATGTTCAACGCAAGTGTAAACTCTAGAAAGCGGATGACTCTGAAAAGCTATTTCCCTTTTTATAACGTTATTTATGACTCATCATCACTATACGCCTACAGTTTTATTTTACAAAGTAAATTTGCATTTTTTTCGGTTTATTGGTTTACTGTATTTGTTCAATCACATTTGTTTAAAATGTCAATGAAAACCTACGATCTTTGCAAACTGTATATCCGATTTTTAAGCAAGTCTAGACATTTTTTAAATCTAAAAGTGAAATCATTTTAAATTGTCATTTAAAGGTATTTTGTTAAAGCACGTTGTTAAGAGATATTCAAATGCTATCAAGTTGCACCGTGGCAACTAGTCTTAGTGACTTGACATTGCGTGCATTGTGTTTTGATGTGTTAGGTGTTGGACGAAGTCCTGGCGATAACTACCAATTCTCAGTAACCAATTAATGTAGAAATCTCAGTCCTATGAGAAGTCACTCACAACTACAAAAGCCCAGTGGTAACATCTCATAGTGTGAAACTGAGTAGCCAGGGTTAAAAGCCACTAAGAAATATCAGTTTCCTCACGACTGCCGGCAAGCCTTTTTGATGAATATCTAAGTTCAGGGTGTTCTGACAATTACCTCCGAAATCTATTTACGAAATGACATTGGATATTTTCGTTTCGTCACTATTTTACACACACACACAAATATACATACATATTATCATAGATCAAATATTTTGTCTAATATCTCAAGTTCTGCACACTGTTGGTAACCTGTAACTCAAAGATGATTTTTCATTATTAATCTTCAGTTTATCAATATCATGCCAGTGTTCTATGGGTTTCGTTGTACTGAAAACTAGTTGACCATCTATTGACTATTTATTGTCTATTCCAGTTAAGGCTTTCAGAAGCTAAATGTACTTAAGTGCTCGTCGATCAATTAGTCGAGGCATCTCAGCGTTTTTTTCGCCGACTTTATCTGTTACGAAGTATTTTCATGACAAAAACCTCACTAGTAAATATAGTGCTTAAAATCCATATTTCGTCTGCCAACGACGATGACTAACAATTTCAAATACACCAGATAAACAGGGCTATCAAGGAAAACGTCTTAATCAGATTGCTTCTAACTGAAAAATATACTGAGCATACAAATTTGAGTTGTATCCACAAGATATAAAGATCTTGAAAACTAAGAGCTTGTTTTTTAATCTTCCTACTTAACTTGGTCGACTAGAATTAAACAAATAGTTCAAAAAGACTAGTTACAATTACAACCACAGAATCAAAAGAGCAGAACGATGGTAATATAATGTTATATATAACCAATAGATAAGGTCTATATGAAAGCCACAGTGGTCACTACTCTGGGATCAGTTAATGTAAACATTTTGATCTTTTTACGATATTAGTCTTGGCCTGAATATCTCGGTGGACACCTCTCTGCCTATGATACGGAACTGAATCATACGAGGAGAATCAGTTCCGCCGAGATCGTCGATTATTTTTTGTTGGCAAGTCCTGGGTTGTAATAAGAGATATTGGAAATCATACAAGGAAAATCGTAATAAAAGATACTACTTGTGGACAGTTTTTTCTGCTATCAGGCAGCGTTTGCTTCTGCACAGATAAAGCAAATTTAATATACAGAAATGACGCAAAATCGTATTCATACAGCGTACATTTTTGATTGACTCGATGGATAAATTTTTATTGAGAACAAATGACTTGACTGGGAAAATACACTTTTTTTAAAAATCAGTATTAATTAATTGAAAAACATTGTAGTTATTAAGAAATATTTTGGTTCTGAAGCTAAAGAAAACCACCAAATAACATAATTTCGTATTTACAGATATAAAAAATCAACCATAGATTCGTAGTGATTTTTTGTTCTTTATTGAAAGAATTATTGCTTTTCAATTAACGTCCCTCGAATTCGCCTTTGTTGAGCCTCTTCATTGGCCTGTTAAATAAACATAGAATTGATGAGTTCACATCGAACTGTAATAAGTTTTCTGATAATTATTTTGAACTTGTGTATTATTATTGTTAATACTCATGTACAATAAAAATTTATAACATAGGTTGGCAAGCCAAATGAAGTTTCAAGATAACTAAAGTAGTTAATTATCTGTAACATAGATAACATACTACCATTATTATATAATTGCCTTAATGGCAAGTATGTTGTGACTTTAAAAATCATAAACTTGAAAATTATATCTTTACAACATTGAACATGATAAGTGAAGCGAAATTCTATGTGCCCTGTTCTATATAGTCTATAGAAATATTCAAATCACAGAGATGTTCCTTAATTTTTAATCAATGACGCAACAGTGAAGTCAACACTAATTTACTTGTAAAAAAGTATTATCATTTGTTATTAAACGTTAGTGAATAATTTTAACTTTCAAACATAAAAAAACATTTTCAGCTCAGGCGAGGGCACATAAATATTATATTAAACCTCTCTGACAATCATATATGGCAATGACGTTGATTGTATACAACTTGTGGAAATGAAAATTCATAATGTACTATTTGGAATCCACCTAATTCACATCAAGTACGGTTTTGACTGGAGCCCCAGCTAGTTAGGAGTTGCAAAAGATGAACTTGAATTTAGAGTTATTTATTTATATTTATTCTAACACATAGATATTGGTACAAGGAGGCACCAAATACATATGCGCCACACAAATCTCATTTGATATGTGTGAGGGCTGTGATACTGCCCGGGTGCCCAAACCGAAACAGATGGTTTTCTTAGGGGGCAACACCCGGAGCCTTCGACATGAACGTCTGATCCATAAGGCAGTGGAGCAACGTAAGGAGATGCAGTCTCATGGTAGCCGGTGACCAACGATTGGTTCATACGCCATTTGTTCCTTTAAGATACTGGAGCCCATGTGCACCATTGGTTTGGAATCAGGGTTTTCCAACTCCCCTAGATGGACTCTCCATGTCCACCAACCCGACTAAAGCGCCGGACATTCGCTTTTCGTCCTCTCAATTTTGTAAACAACACCCCCGTCACGAGCAGGCAGTGAGTAAGACTTCCCTGGCAAAGGCTATATACGCGTGGCCATGTGAGAGCATTTCGAGAGGGAGAAAGGACTCTGACCACTCTCGGCCGTACCAGGGCATTTGGGGGCGACTCTTAAGTAGTTAATGATAAATAGTACTCTTAAGATTATTTATTTAATTCTCTAAGGAAAAAATATTAAATTAAATATCCATTAATAGACTTTTAACAGTAAAATAAAATGCCCATCTAAAAAATGGTATATGACTGCGTAAATCTATTTACCTCATCAACCAAACGGCGTTTTATGATGCCACGTCGAATCATTTCTTGTTCAATGACACGAGCATTGGCTGCATACGAATCTGCTATTTCTTTTGCTTCGGCTTCCTCTTCTTCATCTTCAATAGTAGAAACAGTGACAGCGGTATCAATGCCTTGAGTAGTTTCTTGTTGTTGAACACTTCGACGCAATGGGGCGTTATTCGACGCTTCACTTTGCTGTAGGGCAGCCGCCTCAGCAGCTAATGCTTCGAGTAATCTGGCATTAGCAGAGCTTTCATCAATATGCTTCGCAGCAGTTGGTCGTTTCGGACATAACATAGATGCAGATAATGCAGCTTGATCATCTTGAAGTTTTAATGCATTCTTTATAATAAATTCAGTCTAGTTAAATGAAAAAAACGTATACCACGTGATTAGTCGTAATAATAAGACAGTGGATGATTGAGCTTTCTTTATTTGAATAGTAACACGATAAATGCAAGTATCATTTAGTAGTATAAAGGGTTACCTAGCAACCTTTGGATTACGACGTTTCAGACCACTTCACTCACTTGAAATTCGAAGTCAGGTAGAATTTTCCATCATCACATGTAAGTGTACGTATTATCAAAGGAGAAAGTAATTTTAGAATCGACAGATTGATAAAAAATTAGCTACTTATCATACCCATAGATCATAAAGTATTTAATACCACGAGTAATACCTGCTAGCATTTTTTTTATGTCAAATATTCATAAATTATAATGTAAACATGATTGACAGTAAAGTGAATTATTACTTATATACGTTAAAGTGAAGTGGTTTTAATAAAAATGAAAAATAACACATTAACTCACAAAACAAATTACATCTTAATGTGAGTTGAATGACGGGTTTAAAACTACAAAAACATGATTTTCCGGATTCGGGGAAAGGTCTCGATCATGATATGTAAAAGCTGCCCATATTATCACTTTCCTATCAATGTAACTCGATAAGTGGTTGCAGATTCGTGTGTCCGGAGCTGAGTTGTATGTAGATATGTGTAATTTATTAGTGATCTCATGCTACAAACATAAGAATGTTTTAACCCTTTAGATAATGAATGCAGTTAGCAATTAAAGAATTTTTTTAAGTTTTGTTAACTGGGAGTATATCTTTAAAAACATAACGGAAAGCAAGTGTATTAGCATCTGGCTTGTCAGGTTCGCCTGTTAGTTTTTCACTTCCTTACAATCACTGAGCACTTTGATGACAAATATATTTGAGTTTTATGGCACAAGGTACTTAACTACGTTTATTCACTTCGGTATTGATTTATAAGGAAAATCTGATTTCAGAACCTTAGAATGTATCTGAGTTTTTCTTGGTGGTTAGCTATCACTCCGATAGAGCAATGTAGTCTATGAAGGGTTTATGCAAGACTTTGATAAATAATTTTTATCCATGATAGACTTTAGATTTATTATAAGGCAGAGTCAGCTCTCTTTAGAAATGCTCTCACATAACCACGTACATAGAACCACTGTCAGGGAAGTCCTACTCCCTACCTTCTCAAGACGTTACTGTTGTTTATGAAATCGAGAGGACGAAAAATGAGTGTCCGGCGCTTTAACCGGGTTGGTTGATACGGAGGACCCACCTAGAGTCAGTCAGTCAGCTACAACTTAGGACCAGGCACATATATGCATCGGTCCAAGTTGCCATACCTCATTAACACAACAAGATGGACACCAGATTCATAAAAGTAGTTAATTCAGAGGTGGTAATATATAAAAGAAAGATTGCTCGTAAGGACATAGTACGAGAAGAAAGAATTAGTTCGTAGAAAGAAAGATATGAAGCGATTTTAATCTCTTAGTTTGAGGGAAGACAGAGAGTGTATACACCAACGCCACTGTGACCGATTCTGAGCCATGTCACCAAGAGTCTCCAACCATTGGTTACGATAGTCACGCGGACCCCAACCAACTAGTCTGCATCTACCAACATGGCTCAGACTAGAAGTTAGTGACTTTAAGCACTGATACCACGTTTTGGTTTGGCCGCCCCTAACTTTCTTCCAACCATTACCCAACACCGGTTAGCATTGCACGTCATGGTAATCGGTGTTCGAGCATACGTACCACGTGGCCCAACCATCTCAGTCGATGAAGATTCACAACCTCATCAACTGATTTACCATCATTCCCTAATACCCTGCGTCTAACCTTACTATTACTTACCCGGTGATCCCAGAAGACGCCAGCAATATTTCTAAGGCATCTGTGGTCAAATACTAGTAGCTTATGAGTGTCTTCTACTCTTAATGGCCATGTTTCGCTGCCGTAAATTAAAACAGAACGGACTGCCGCGCAGTATACTCGACCTTTTATTGATAGACGGATATCTCGACTTCGTCATAGGTGACGTAAGTTGGCAAAAACCAAGCGAGATTATCGAATCCGTGCAAAGATGTTGTCAGACACCAACACATTAGGGCTGATCAGACTTCCAACATAAGTGAAGTTGTCAGCGCGTTTGACTACTTCACTCCCTATCCTTAGTTCAGGTGTTGACGCAGATCAGTCCTGAAGCGACAACTTGCATTTAGAGGGAGAGAAGCGCATTCCAAACATCCTGGCATTGTTGCTTAGTGCTACAAAAGACTCTGCATTCTATCAGCGCCTTCACCAAACAGGACTATATCATCTGCGTATTACATTCAATTCCCAGATTTGAGCTAAAACATTAGTCAACCTGATCGCTAAAATTTGACCGCCATACTTCAAGACATCTGGAGCCAATCCATCACTACCAGTTGCTCTTCCTCGTTTCAGATTAACTATAGCCTTCTGGACTTCTGCTAGAATTGGGGGACCTACTTCAATGTTCCATTCACACTGTCTGGGAATGGAGGGTAGTTGTAGAGTAGCTGGAGGCCAGCTGAACTGTTCTCTGAAATGTTCCGCCCATCGTTCTAAACGTCTGGACTGAGAGCAGATGAGGGTGTCGTCTTTTTCCGAGATAGTCTCACCTACACATGACTTATTAATTCCAGTTTCTTTTATTAGTCTGTAGAGCTGTCTTGTGTTCCCTATAGCCGCCGCCTTTTCCATCTCTTTTGCTTTCGTTGGCCACCACTGATCACGGTCGTTCCTTAAACTTTTGTTTAACATAGATCTGATCTGTTGTCGCTCTTCATCGTTTCCAGAGCCATGTTGGGCGATGTCTCTCCTTATGCTTAAAATTTGTGTTTGCTAAAAATAAACGATTGTCTGAGCACAGTTGCAGCAGACGATCACCACTATTTGTTCGCTGAGCCGGAATACCAAAATACCCACCTACATGTCTTTCTGTTTGGTTTAATCTACCTACCTCGGCATTAGTCACCTGCTACAAGTACTATATCTGAACGTTGAGCTTTCTGTAAAATTCATCTTTCACCTCATCTGAGCTGGAGTCGGTGGGAGTGTAGGCAAAAACGACAAAAAGGCAACGACGTGTATCCATATCCTTCCGAGTTCTTACGGAGCCGTTTAGCCGAACAAAACATAAACGACTGTTAACGGGGATCCACTCTAACAGTGCTTGTTCCGTCTTCATGCTTAATGCTATCCCTACTCCTTCCAGTCCACGAGAGCTGGCCGTCAGGTCACCAGATACACGGAGGGTGTATCTCGTTGGCTCTCCGTTTCGCCGAGGTGGGGTCAAGTGAATGACCACACTGGGATCCTGTATGCGTGTTTCAGAGACACAGCATACATCAATGGTACGAGATTCTAGGGTTTTAGCCAAGGAAGCCTGTTGACCGATTTGACATAGGGTGCGTACGTTGAAGGCTCCAATGTGTAGTTTGCAGCGAAGTTTCAGTAGACCTGGGAGTGTTTTGCGCACTGGAATCGTTGGCTATGGTGACACTTGAAGGAGAAGCCGAAAAAGGAAGTTTAGAGGTGAAAGTCGATGTAGGAGGAATAATAGGAAGTGAAGATGGAGATTGATTATGAATACAATGGTCTTGAGCGCTGTTAGAGATATGAGGGCGGTTATCATTTCCCGGTTGCCCACACCGTGGAAGGGTTCTTCTGGAGGTACCTGAAAAGAAAATTGGATTAGAGGTGGTCTTAGTGACCTGGGAGCGTGACCGCAGTGCCCAAGGGACAACTGCTTGAGGTCAGTCACACACGACCTTTTTATGAGTAATATTTGAGTTAGCTCCGTACTTGTTGAGACCCTACCGGCGGAGACGGATGTCCGTGTGATAAGACGAGGTGTGTATCTTTAGGGTCGACCTTTTCTAACCCCACCCCTCCTTGTGGGAAGGCAGCATCGCTGTCATGCTGGTTGTCTGAAGGAAACACCTTACTGCTGTCACACCTCTGTACAGTCAGCAGTACGACTTCGCCTTCGGACCTTGGGTTTGTTGCTTTTAGTCTTACCGCTCTTCAACCGACCTGTCTGACATGGTAGGACCTTGAGGAACGGTTGTTCCAGCCAGTATAACTCGTTGCTTCATCACGATAGGCAAGCCCGACCACCACGTCAAGGTAGCAACAACAGTCTAGAGGAGTTGGAAAACCCTGATTCCAAACCAATGGTGTACATGGTCTCCATGATCCTAAGGAAACAAATAGCGCACTAACCTATTGTTAATTACTGGCTACCATGAGACTGCAATTTTATACGTTACTCCACTGCCTTGTAGATTAAACCTTCAGGTCAAACGCTCGGGGATAAGCCTCCTAAGAAAACCACTTGTTTCGGCTTGGCCACCCGGGGAGTATCCCAGTCCTCACAAATCGAATGATTTATGTGGCGCATATCTATTTGGCGCCTCCTTGTACCAATGTACAAGTGTTTAAATAAATAATTAATTAATACTGTGGGACCTATATGGACTGGGCATCAACGATCCTGTACGCGGAAACCCTTGGAGTTCTAGTGAGAAGCCGTGATCAGTGGACTTAAACTGTGTCGCGTGAGGCAGTTGCTCACCGAAGACAGTGAAAGATCATCGTGGAGTGTGGTGGATTGATTGAAGTTATACATCAACACCGTTGAATGCCCACTTAGTGGTTTAGAGGTCGAAGGTCCTGGGTTCGATGCCCGCGTGTGGAATCGTTGGTGCACACCTCTGAGGAGTCCCACACAAGGACGAAACGGTTCCCTGATGATTTCAAGTTTTCAATAGTAGTTTGTCTAGCTAAGATAAATTCCTAATTTGAACCGTGAGAATATTTTATATTTATCGAAAATTACCGTTGAATTTTCTGCACTGTGACGATAAAAGATTGGTAATCCACAGCTTTTGCAATACCTGCGGAACTGCTTCTCTATTCCATTTGGCCAACGTATATAAATTGGAGTGAGTGGATTAACAGCCGTAGCTGTTGTTTTATGAGCACGTTTGGATCCATCAATAACTCTAGCGTCATCTCTAGGACGCCTTGGTAGTTTCTCAACTAGACAGTCAATTATCAGTGACATTTGACCACAGATACATGAATAGACAAACAGTGGTTTCTCACTTCCGTAATTATGCCGTGGCCTCGAATCAGTTACAATATGTGTTGCTCGTTTGCGAACGCGTGGTTTGTGATCTTTGCTCATATTTCAATCCGAAAATGATCTGGAAAAAATAAGTAAGTCTTACCACAATTAAAAAGCGGAAAATTCACCAAAACGTTTGTCTTAAAAACATTCAGTATAAACGAATATCAAACCAAATAGAGTCTGAGAAATAGGTTTAGTATATTAACCCCCTGAAAATCTATTTTATTCTCCTCCTTCATTGCTAGACTACTAATTAAAACAATGCCTGACTTTATGTATATAGGCGCAAATATCGAGAGGTTTCTTTGAGAAAAGTACGTACCTGTCAAGGCGCCGGCTAAGCTTGACTTTTAAGTGATTATGAAGTACTTAATTAACCACGAGTTGGAATCACTGAGTATGTAGTAGATAAGTTTAGAAACTGCTTTGTTAAGCAGCTATTCTGTGGGGACTATCATTAACACCGAAGTAACTGGAATGTGTCTGGAAACTCATATGTGGTTAATAAAGTGACGCATCAACTGATAGCACTATCTCACTAATGCAGGTTGGTATTAAAAAATACAGCCGATACAAATAAGTGTCCACTACCTGATATTCCTGAATCAGACGAAATCAGAAAGTCCTTAGACGGAACAAACAAAAGTATTTTGTTTAGTTAAACCATTATTTAACCTAATTATTTTATTACAGCTCGACGAATTATATGGGAAAAATTCCTTTATACGGGTTATATGATATGTTCAGCTCGCAGCTCTAACAACAACAAGCAAACAAAAAAGGGGATTAAAGGCGAACTTTGGGGAAAATCCTTACGATAAGTCGGTGTGAATATATGCGACAATGAATCAAATTACCACTTTTCCGCAGCCCGGAGTAAATGATGCTGATTTTCTCCAAAATTAACCCACTGACATGTCTCGTAACTAACACTTTTACCTTCCTCAAAACTAACACCAATTTGTTCATTTTTATCAAGAATAAACACGTTAAACAGTCAACATTTTGCAAAACTCAACAAATCACTTTTGTACCGTCCAAATACTTCGGGAACTCCCTTTTAATTCCCAAGAGCAACCGAACTATCTGCGCACCCAACATAAAAAACAGTGGTTTATATGAAGACGATTCATCAACAAATTCTACACAAAGTTGTCGATAATATTAAAATATTACGTGCGTGACCGGTCACAAGCAGTTGTTGAACTCTCTGGTCACACTCCCAGGTCACTAAGCTCATCGCCAACTCAGCCTTGTTTTCAGGTCTCAAGAGGGAATACCCTTCCGCGGTATGAACAGCTGGGAAGTAACAACTACCCGTATACCCTTGTCAGCGCCTGAGGTCATCTTGTTCACGACAAAACCCCTCACTCAACTCGTAATAATTCTTCCATCCCTACAATCAGTCCTTCTGGCATATCATCACACCCCACCAATGCTAATGATTTGCGCTTGAGAAGTGTTATTTCTGGTTTCCTGAAACTACTCTCTAAACTACATATTATAGCTTTTAATGTTCGAAATTTGTGTCGAATAAAGCAACAGACTTTCTTAGCTAGGACTCTACAATCTCACGCTATCAACGTAGGCTGCGTCTTCGAAACGCACATATAGGATCCAAGTACAGCCATTCATATGACCTCACCACGTCAAACATAAATAACCAGCACGAATTACAATTCGAGTATCTGGAAACCCCACTGCTACTTCTCTTGACCTCGCTGGTGTTAAGTTCAAAAGCAGAAGTGTCCGTTAGGCTGGATCCCAATAGACAGTCGTCTGTGAGGGACAATAAGTAATCGAAAAAATAGCACACATTGTTGCATATTCTTTGCCTCTGCCTACGCTCCCGATGATTGCAGTTCGCATAAAGTCAAAGATGAATTTCGTAGAAAGCTATCCAACCTCTTTCAAAAAGCTGAAGGCTATGATATAGTAATGGTGCGAGGTGATTTTAATGCTCAAGTAGGCAAACTAAACCAACCCGAAAGGCGCTTGTGAGGGTCTTACGGCTTGGTGAACAGATAATGGGGACTGTCTATTTCAAGCAGGCACCAACTTTAAGCGTAAGGTAAGACACCATCTGAAGTTGCGACTCCCATAATCGACTCAACGATAGACCATCGTTGGAGAGGTTCGATTAAAGACTGGCGCTTATTCTGGAGGAAATGTTTAGACTCGAATCATACTCTCGTACGAGTACTTATACGTCTGTCTTACTGAACATAAAACACCACAGCAAGAAAAGTCAACGAAAAAGTCAAGAATGTATTTTCGACGTCCAGCATATTGTCTCATATTTGCAGGCAATTCGACCACATCCAAGGACAGCTTCGCCATGTTATTATCTTTGATAATCTGTGAAACTAAATTCAGTCTCATACTAAACTTACTCGTCCTAGATTGCATCGTTATTAGGTGTCGAAGCACTGGTTGATGGAAATGACACTACTTTGGTTGGGCTTATTTAAACACATATGAATCGATAACATACTTGATAACTGGGGAGGTGGGAGTTTCGTGGTTTAAATTTGGAATATTTTGCCCAGCTTTATCCATCTTGCATTTCTGAGAAACCCAAGTTGACAGAATCATCTAGGTGATCTGACTTTCGTTCTAAAACTTCTCTGCCAACAATGATAGGTAATGACGCCCAACCCGTTTTAGTTTATCGTTCTGGAGTATCTATTCCAGTCTGGGAAAAAGGTAATAATTTGATGGATTGTTGCGTATATTCACACCGATCTCTCAAAAAGACATTTCCCTGAAGTTCGCCTTTGTTTCCCTTTTATTATTTGCGTTGTAGGAGGATCCTACCAACAATGCGAACCTTAAGGGCTGAATGGACGAAGTATGGGTGATATGAAAAAACGAAACCTACCGACCTTTGTTCGTGCAACCATCCCCCTAATTTTAAGTAGAAACCATGCAGCCACTAGTTTTCTGACTCTAGTAACTGTCACCTATTGCTGAGTAAATTTAGGTTTTAACGGTAATGCAATATACTATTGAATCAAGCATTATACTACGAGTAAGGATAAAAGACTGGGTTCACTAAAGTATTAGTTAATCAGTAACTGGGATTGCCGTTTGAATAACATTAGAAATTTGCACAAGGGAGAGCTTCAAATTTTCTGATGTAATGACATGACTGACCTTCAGAATTTAGTGTCCTTATGAGTACATCGTTACAGCTTACAACAGACCAATACATGGTTATTCTATGTTAATTCCTATATCGAGAGAAATGATTCAAAATGTTACAGAAAAGATAGCACAAATATACATAGATAGGCACATACCGTACACTGACAAATTAAATTAGTGATGTAAAGGTTTGATAAAAACTCAGTTCAGTATAAAAAAGCAATGCCAAAAAATAACATAACCATTCTGTATTGTATGACACTTTCGACAGCCGTCTCATACTACGATTAACGTCTGTAGTCTAAATACAGTTGAGTATGTAACTTAGTTGGTCGATTGCTCCAGCTTGTTCACTCTAATTCGGCAAATCACTGCAAACTTTGGGGAATTTGAGGTGATATTCAGCGAAACGTCTAGGGCGATATAGCGTTTCTAACACATCGGTTGACCAGTGTCTCAACCGATTGAAGCACTCAAAAAATCATTGATCGATTATGAATAAAATCTTATATTTATCTCTACTATAGAACACTATGTTCCACAGAAACGGCTGCACCGTTTAGAAACATTAAGCAAACTAAGTACTTATATGCAAAAAGGAATATGTATTCGTACCCTGCCTCAAAAACTTGTAACCTCAGTAACCGTACAGATGAGATTGCTACAAACTGTATCTGTATTACCGACTGCCAATGGATGGAATAAATCGTAGGTAACACACTAAAAACAAGAGCGACATGCGGATCTCAGGAAATCTTCAGAAAGCATCCAAAGAACCCGATCACACTGTACACACCAAAGTCAAACGGCGGCAAAATTACTGGTGCGTTCAAACAGTTCAAACTGTTCTTGACGGAATGTAAGAAGCTTTCACTTAACATGATTACGCGTCTAGTAGCAGTGGATCACCGATGCCTCCAAGTAGGAACTTAAACATATTCAATGGTTCAAATGGTTCAAATGGTTGTGGACGGAATAGAAGAAGCTTTCGCTTAACAGGCTTCCGTGTCTAGTAGCAGGGGATCACCAAATCCTCCAGGCAGGAACCTAGGTATGTTGACAATAAAAAAAGAAAAGAAATTGGTAAATCATAGTGTGATGCTGTCCTTGGTCCTTAAGAATAGGTCGAGTTGCCTCTTGAAGGACTCCTGAGAAGTTGCTTGGACTAGCTCGGCGGGCAGCGAATTCCAGAATTTGACAACTCCTAAGGAGTAGAAGTTGTGTCTACATTCCGTCTTGCTATGTTGTGTTTCTAGTTTCTGGGTGTTACCCCTTAGGTTATTATTCGAACTAAGCTTAAGTAGGTGTTTAAGAGGATGTCCAGAAGTGTTAAGAATACTATAAGCCATTAATAAATCACCTCTAAGACGCCTATACTCTAATGGGTAAAGGTCTAGTGAATGGAGGCGTTCTTTGTAAGGTTTAGATTTGAGTCCTCGAACTGATTTCGTGGCTCGACGTTGGATACGCTCCAAAGTGACCTTGTCCTTTTGGAGTGAGGGAGGGAGTACTATGTTTCCGTACTCTAAATGGGGACGGATGAAACTATTGAAGATTGTATGGAAAGTTCGTCCGTCAAACTGTCCAAAAATGCGCTTCAACGTTACCAGTGCAAGGTTTGCTCGGAAGGCATTTTTGCCACAGTTAGCATAAGACTTTAAATCATGGGGCACCAGGACTTCTAAATCTTTTTCGACTTGGGGTACTACTAGAGAGGAGTTTCCTAAGTTGTAACTGTAGTTTGCGACATGTCGCAGATGGACTACTTTACACTTTGAAGTGTTAAAGGTAAGTCGGTTATCGTCTGCCCAACTTTGAAGTCGAGTCAGATCCTCCTGAAGTGCCTGTATATCGTCTTGGTTGCGTATCTCTCTCCAAAGTTTCACGTCGTCGGCAAAAAGTAATGTCTGACGTTACCTGTTGAGGAAGATCATTTATGTAGATCAAGAAGAGAAGAGGCCCTAGTACTGAGCCCTGGGGGACCCCACTAGGACATTCCATAGCCTGAGATAAAGTGAAATTAACCCTGACCTTAAAGTGTCGATTTTTCAGGTATGAAGTAAGCCAATCGATTAGAGGTGGTTTGATACCTAGTCGTTTGAGCTTATTCGTAAGACACAAGTGGTTAACCTTATCAAAAGCTTTTGAGAAATCAAGGTAAATGATATCAACCTTTCCCTTGCGATCGAGGATGCTTGTCCATCTGTCCACCACAGTCAGCAGGTTGGTTATGCAAGAGTAACCCTTCCTGAAACCATGCTGTTGGGGTGAGAAGAAATTTAAGGACAGTAGATAGTCATTTAAACCGTCGCATATCAGGGACTCCATGAGTTTTGAAGGTAATGACAGAAGAGCCACTGGCCGATAACTTGAAGGTTCATTGCGTCGACCTCCTTTGAAAATTGGTGTGATGTGAGCCAACTTCCAATTTTCCGGTAATTTGCCTCGGCTTAGCGAGTGTGAAAACATCACGCTAAGCGGCGTAGCCAGGATTGAGGCTGCCTCCCTCAGTATGGCAGGGTGAACCATATCCGAGCTGTTACAAAGTATCTAATCTTAAGTGCTGCAATTTCCGGAACACCAAGTCAGCGCTTAGGTCTACTTCGGAAAGTCCTGTGGAATTGCAGATGAAACTGTCGTCAGTAAAGTTGATGTCAGCCGGTTGAAATGTTTGAGAGTAATGTGCCGCCAGAAGGTCAGCGGCGTCGCCATCGTTGTTGGTCGGGCCGTTGAGACCTAGCAGTTGGGAAACTCCAGTTTTGGCTTGACGAAGAGAGGCTGCATAGCGGAATAGGCTTCTAGGGTTAGAGGCAAATTTGTCCATAAGCTTTGTTTGGTACTGAAGCCTGTCTTCTCTTATAGCCTTCGTGCATATGTTCCTGATATGTTTATATTGCCTATACGCTCCATCGTTATTAGTTCGTTTGTATTCCGCCCAACAGTGTCTTTTGCGGCTTAGCAGGCGAAGGGTACGGTTCTTGATTACTGTAGGTGGCTTGCAGCTTTTGCGAACCGTTCGAGGAACTGAATGGTCTGTAGCACATAAGAGCGTGTGCAGTAAGAAGTCCCAATGACCATCCACATGGAGTTGAGGGTGAATATCCTAAACCACCTGTTGTAGATAGTCATGTAGAGCTGGCACATTCAGCCGTTTAAAATTACAACGCTAATTATTGTTGGGATACCTTAGCTTAGTTTTGATGACAAAACTGAAGGCTATGACGGCATGATCGCTCTTTCCCAGAGGAGCCAGGATTGAGAGGTTGTCAACTAGGAATTCTTCGTTTGTGAATACACAGTCTAAGCGCGATGGTGCCTGACTGTTTCTCCAACGAATTACCGACCCCACATTTTCATATAAGCCCAAGTCATCGATGAGGTTGAAGAACCGAACTTCAATTGAGTTGTCGCCTCCAGTGTCCATGTGTTCCGCGAAGTTGACTCTAGGGAGATTAAAGTCCCCTAGAATCAGGATGTGTGTGAAACCGAGACGGGTGGAGCGGGATAGTCCTTCCAGCATACGACTATCGTACTCGATGTCGGCAGTTGGCTTCCTGTAAATGACTCCGACTAGACACCTCGAAGTACTGGACAACCTTACAGAGCACCATATGGATTCCTCAAGATTGTTAAACTCGAGGTTGTGAACTTGGTGCACCTCCAAGCAATAGCTTAAGTATATGGCTACTCCGCCCCCAATTCCTGTTTTTCTGTCGTTGCGGAACAAAGTCATCCCAGGTAATGCTAACTCTTGGTCCGAGAACTGAGAAGATATCCAGGTTTCAGATATTCCTATCAGATGGGCCTTATTAGCGTTGCTAAGTTCAAGTAATTCATCCAGTTTGTTTGGTAGACTCGCGGCGTTCATATATAAGCAGTTTATGCTTTCAATTTGGAACGCGTGAGCCTCGTCCTGTTTTTCTGTATGAGCCTTATGTGAATGGACAGGTAGCCCACCTATATGAGGTTTGCCGAGGTGGTAGGCCCTGTCCTTTACACGTTTTTTTATCATTTAGACAGTCCACAAATGGAATGGTCAGCTCCAACTTGCTACTGTGTTTTGTCCTAGCTTCAAATGGTGAAAGAGAAATAGCAAATAGTAAAGCATAGCGTGGTACTGTCCTTAGTCCTTAAGAATATGTCAAGTTCCTTCATAAAGGACTCCTACGAAGTCGTTAGAATTGGCCCACTCGACAGTGGGATCTAGTAAAAGGTGTGCAGAATTATGGTCTACTATGATATTAGTACTGCTCTAATAATAGACCTAATCCTAAATTTGTAGATTTGTCGTGATATAACTGCCTAATCTATAAGATCTTACGTGGAAGTCACACCATCGACTACGCTAACTCACTGTATTGCATCAATTACCAATACATGATGTAGAACAAGGTTAGGCTAGAGAAAGAACAATATATTTAATATGAATAGAAGATATAAGGTAACATTCAGCATAGACCACGTCTGCATGGCCGAGCCATGCCACTCGATCAACTCCAGTACCTTCAACCCATTGTTCGCGCCTTCTCCATTGTTAGGTATTTATCCGCGTTAAATATTGAATATCTATTTTCTGAGTAGTCTCGTGTTCAGCTTTGTTGACTATGCGGTTATTGTTCAATGCCACTACACTACTCTCCCACCAGAATCAACGTGATGTTGGTTCGATACCAAATTGGATGGGATCGTCGTGCGTTGAAGGTTACCAAGACTAGGAATAATCCTCCGAGTATTGGTAAGCTGAAAGATAAATCAAAAAGAAGGCGGCAGCATCTGGTCGGGAAATACATGTAATAGTTTTAAAATATCTGCCTTCATGCTTAAAACGCTTGAAATGAGAATTTGGGTGAAGATTATTTGAGCTATAAAAAATGGGGTTACAATAATAATAATAAAACGATGCGTGTTAATAGCCGTTGGTTAATAACTTAACGTATAGGTAGTAAGTATTTTGTGTTTAGAAATATTAAAAAGATGAATATTGTAGAAATGTTAATATTGGTATTAGTTTTGGTTTAAATTATAAAATCAAATAACGATTATGCCGGTAAGTTGTCCATATGAGTTGAATTCCAATTGCATCTGTATTAGTAGGCTAACTGAAGGAACAAAAGTATACCGTGGAGAAGAATTCCAACTAGTGTTCCAGTCAGTTTGATACGGTTTATTTAGTTACGGGGAGATTTTCTCAACCTCATTTTTACTTGACCGTGATAGAATTTAGTAATACTACTAATACACATGAATGTTCATCAAAACAAAATTTAAATATATGAGTGATAATTATATGAATTTTGGACAGATAGCTGGGAAAAATCGTTAAACATGAGTGTATTCGTAAGAGACATGCTCTGGACTCAATGTTCTGATCTGCGATAGACTATTTATTTATATTTATACTTGCTGGCTGATTGGGCATACAAGTTAGTTGCAAGTATGCAGTTTATCATAAAACGGAATACGATTTAATTGAGATATAGTGGTTATAAGTTATTAAAATCAGTTAGGCCTGTGTCATATTACGAAGTGATGTGGTGCTGCAAGATGTATTTTTACAAGACGATTAATAGTAAGTGATGCTCATGTGATTATCAGGGAGAACATAAGTTGTAACCAAGGGGAGTACACTCCCAACTCA